TAATCGAATGATGTTGCTATGCAATTATGAACGAATCTTCTATTTATTCTTCGCATTCAGTAACTACTTAAATTCGGCCTATCCATGTATTTATAGTTAAGAATTAAATACTGCGTAACTTCCAAATTAATAATTGATTTTCCTATTCTCAATGGAGTTGCTTATGCATTACCTCATTGACGAACTGCAAATCATGACGCTTCATGCAAATTATACTGAGCAATAATTATACTGAGCAATACTTATACTAAGCAATACTTACGCAGTAAAATGCATTATTTGTCCGCGGATAATATAATTTAAGAAGTCTTGAACTGCAAATCTATATGTACACAAGACAAGAGAAATATATTGTATCAATTGAACTCCTATCGTGATTTCTTTACCATTATCAGTTAATCAATCCACTTCTTAATCACTAGGATAAATGAAAGGATCATTTTTCAAACAGCGACGCATTTATCGCTTTTATATGAGGCCGGGCCATCCTATAAATAAACCCCCTCCAACCAGGAAAAAAACCGAATAAGGACAAAGCCGGCGGCCAATAAGAATTATAAAAAATAATCAATTAAAATAATAAGAATAAGGCCAAATCCCCGGCCCTGGTGGTAATAAAAAAAGGGGGAAAAAAAAAAAACTTCATATATACAACATATATAGTCCATTCATCTCTCTGACTAAAGCGATAATTTGAAGTCGCAGAAATCAGGGCACGAAGTTTATTTTATGACCGTTGCGTTTCCTAATGAACTTCTCCGATTAGATTTGTTACAAGCCAAAAAATACTTTAATGACAATAATAATATTAATGTTAGAAAAATATTAATAATAATAAGAAATTAATATGAATACATATTTAATTTTATAATTGTAATAATAATAAAATTATAATAATAATAATCAGTCTTCCTGTTACTAATATAGACATTATAGGAACGCAATAGCAATTATGATCATCATTATAAGCAATAATGATCATCATTATAACTGCACATCGAGAACTCGTATAACGGAAGTTCACGGCTCGGTGTTCTTCAATGATTTGCTCACATCAGGAGCGTAATTTCGTCTATGCACTGATAACAAAACAATGTCATGGAATTTACGACATCCTGTATGATAGCCAAATTGCCCGCCGGGTAATTTTTAACCCTGAATTTTATGCAGAGATTGACGCAGAACTTGACTGGAATTTTAAAGGTATTTTTAAAAAAATATTAATTAAGTCACGTATACACTCACGGCTTATATGACTGCCAATGATTACACATCAAGGCAAATTCCACACGATCAGTAATAAAATAATATTTTATGAACGAAATTTAGATTTGTTATCACAAAAGTTTACCCAATCGGATAAAAAATTGAGCGTCATGCGTAAAGAGAAAATTTAATTACTGTTGGATCTTCTCGAAGTGAAAAAAACCCGAAAGTTAATTAATTCGAACATGCTCTTTCGAAAAATGTCACGCGGAAAAATACGTTATCTTGCACAATAGATAATGTTTTAACTTAGACATTTTTTAAAAATTCATTTGCGCTTTCTGCAATGCAACAGGAAACTTCGATCTTGACCATAATTCGTGGCAAATAGTCGAAAATTGTTTGTTTATATAAAGATTATTTGATAAATCTGGTATGTATGGGTATGTATGTGTGTGACATAATTATTCAGAAAAAGCGAATGAAATGACAGATCGCCTTCGAACGACTAAAGCGCAAAAGCCTTCTAAAACCTTTTAATATAAAAATTTCCATCGGATTTACAAAACACATACTATTATCTGTTCATAAAAAACTCATAATATAACAGGAGAAAACAAAAATTCAGAGTTTTTTGTGGTGATCTTTTGTACTCGCGGCTAGCCATGCATGAAACAAATTTCAATACCAAGATATTCGGGAGTATCAGTGTATATTATTTAGTGTGCTATAATAGGAGCCCAACACAAGCATGTAATATGTAGGAGCTATTCCAGCAATGTTTCTAGAGTTGGGATATTAAGTGGCTGCGAAAATTTTCTGTTACCGCTGGAAACGTGCGGTATTGCGAATCAAGATTGACTGCACGTTAAACAAAAATAAAATTTCATCCATAATTTAGATCAATATGGTTTGCATTAAAAATTGAAAAATTTATAAAAGCTTTAATTTTTATACAAAGACTTCTAGTGGACTTTTAAGCGAAAATATCAGTTTATAAGAAGGCCTTCTCCAAAGATAGATATCCAGGATTCCATTCCCGAACCCCGTTATCCTAAATCAAGTGAATAATTTTGAAAGTACTGTATCACAGTCAGAGAAAAGCCCAATCAAAATAAAATTGAACCCGGAAAACCCGTACTAATTTGGTTTATAATTTAAAGAAAATTTGCACATCTCTCAATGCCACGTCATAGCCAAAGCCAAAAATTTCCGAAAGAATAACAAAAAATTAAATTCACAAAATATCCCGACACGATAACAATCATGGATACGTGCCAATGACTCATATGGCTGCCGATGATTACACATGCCAAGGCAAATGCCTCCCGATCAGTTTTAAAATAATATTTTATGGACGAATTTTTAAAGATTTTTCATCATAAAAGTTTACCCATTCAAACAAAAAATTGAGTGCCTGCGTTAATAGAAAGTTTAATCAATGTTGGATCTACTCGAAGTGAAATGAACCCGAAAGTTAATTAATTCGAACATATACCCTTTCGAAAAAATTTTGTCATGCGCGTAAAAATAAGTTATCATGCACAATAGATAATGTTTTGACTTTAAAATATTTTGAAATTCATTTGCGTTTTCTGCAATGCGACAGAAAACTTATTGGCCATAATTCGTGACAAATAGTCGAAAAATGTTTGCATATATAAAGATTATTTGATAAATCTATTATGTACGGGATGTGTATGACACAATTTATTCAGAAAAAAACGAATAAAAGGACAAATTGCCTTCGAAAGACTAGAGCGCAAACGCCGTCTAATACCATTTCATGAATAAAATAGCTAATAGAAAAAAATTTCCATCTGATTTCCAAAACTTATACTGTTATTTGTTCATAAAAACTCATAACAGGAGAAATCAGATATTCCGAGTTATTTGTGGTGATCTTTTGTATTCGGCTAGCCACGAAAAAAATTTCAAAACCAAGATATTCGGGAGTATCAAGCTAGTGTATATTATTTGATGTGCTATATAGGAGGTCAGCACGCATGTAATACGTATAGGAGATATTCCAGTGCAGATCCACAATTAATGCTTCTATGGAGTCAGGATGTTATGCGACGGTGAAAATTTTCTTTTACCGCTGGAATCGTACGGTATTGCGAATCAGGATTGACTGCACGTTAGACAAAAATCAAATTTCTTTTATAAATTAGATCAACGTGGATTGCATTAAAAAATTAAAAAATTTATAAAAGCTCTAATTTTCATACCAAGACTTCAAATGGAGTTTTATGTGAAAATATCAGGTTATAAGAAGGCATTTTCCAAGATAGGTAGGGAATCTCCTGGATTCCATTCCCGAAGCCCATATATCCTAAATCAAGTACATAATTTTGAAAATAAAGTATCACAGTTAGAGAAAAGCCCAATCAAAATAATATTGAACCCAGAACTCCCGTACTGTTTTGGTTTATAATTTAAAGAAAAATCGCACTTCTCTCAATTCCACGACATAGCCAAAGCCAAAATTTTCCAAAAAAAAACTGAAAATTAAATTCCCAAAATATCCCGACACGATAACAATCATGGATACGCGCCCGTTCAACCCCTGCATTGAAGACGCCATACATGGCTACAAAACCTGACAAAAACTTTCACAATGTATATAAAATTGTTGCGATCTGCCCTTTATTAATAGAATTTTGTTTGGTTTTAAAATTATCATTATGAATCTATAGTGTGTCAAGGATTATATCCATTCCGTGCAACGCTAGGTTAAAATGCCCCTATGTACACAATTATTTAATATTTTTAGATTTTTCGGTGCTAGCTCGTCGCTTTGAAAATTTTCAGGGTTTTCACTGCACAAATCAATAAAAGAACAGAATAGAGACATTGGATGAAACCTGAATTTTGATTTTTACGACTAAATATAAATACGCATATGAAAATGGATGATAGATTAAAAAATTTTAATTCGATTTTAAAATATTAAGTTTTTTAATTCGACATATAATATTTATAAAAATACATGAATATAATATATATATATGTAATATAGTTTATTTCGATTTTAAAATATTAAGTATTAAACTGTAATAAAAGTTATTATAATGTTTTTCCATCAAAACGTGGTTTAAATTAATGTGTTGCTGAACGAAGGTTTGAACGAGTATCTCTCTTTAATCAACATTATATATATTCCTCAAAGAAAAACTATTAACTAACTTTTAATAGGTTTAATCTTATAGGAAACGCAACGAATAGGTGCGTTTCCTGCCTTTTATATGATCCCTCGGAGAGAATTTTTTCTGTCGAATTCCGAGACAATTTTTAGCGCATTTTCTCATTTATGGAAAAAATACACTATTTTGCTCGCCATGTCCGTCCGTCCGTCCGTCCGCCTGTCTGTCTGTCCGTCCGCGACTTCACGTTTTCGTCGGCGAGAAAATTTGCTCTCTGTCACTCACTGCACTGAGTACTAAGTTATATTTTTTTCCTTTGTATATTTCATTGATTGGTCGGTATCACGGCTTATCGGCTTGCTCTGGCAAACCAAAAATTTCATAGGCCCGTATAACATACAACATCAGGACTTTAAAATAAGAAGGAAAAATCTGAGTGGTTACTAAAATTTCGGTAAAATTATGCCAAAACAGCAATTTTTTGTATGCAATATCATGTATTTTTAGTTATTATACTCACTTTTCGGCATTTAAAGACAGCCGGACGGAGCTCAAAAAGGTCTCACAATAACACTTAGCCATTCTTACCTCAGAATAACCGTTGATAAAGATTATGTTATTCGTTAAAAGGTAATAAAGTTTACTCACGTTATGAAGTTTGTAGTAAAGACCACAGGCATTACAGACAGGCTCGCCCTGAGAGTTGCGGCGCCAGAGCGTCGTGGTCGTGGTCTGGCAGTTGGTACAGACCATGCCTTGCCTGCGCTGTGCCTGCGCTCCTGCGCTGCTGCTAGACCCATTGCCGGGACTGTACTGTATACACATTGGGAAATACATTTAATATTATTATATACAAATTGGAAAATAAGTGTATTATTATAATATACAAATAGGAAAATACGTTTAATATTTTAGTATACAAGTTGGAAGATACGTTTAATATTATAATATACAAATTGGAAATTACGTTTAATATTATAATATACAAATTGAAAACTACGTTTAATATTTTAGTATACAAGTTGGATGATACGTTTAATATTATAATATACAAATTGAAAAAAACGTTTATTATTTTAGTATACAATTTGGAAGATACGCTTAATATTATGATATACAAATTGAAAACTATGTTTAATATTATAATATAGTGGTTTTGTCAAATGAGCACCTTTATGTACACTGTATATGCTTTTATTGTTTGATTGTGGCACAGGTATGATTCTTGATACAAGTCCTCAAACAGATCAGCCTACTCCTTTCTTTGCACCGTATAAGAGAAATGATAATCAATTCAGGTTATTATCAATATTTTGTTTTGATATTACTTCGAGTGCCTAGAATTGGATGTCACTGCTTCTCTATGTATCGATACTTCAATATTATTGATACAAATCTTCAAACAGTATTGATCAAAGCATAAGCTGCACTATGTATGGAAAACAAAATATTTTGTTCAACGGTAAAAAAGGTAGTTTTTAAGAACTTTGGGTGCCCTCAAAATAGGTATTTTATGGTATTACAGGCTTTTAAATATTCAAGAAATTTAATTCATTATGATTGAATTAAAATAATTACGCTCATCACCGGAGTTGGGCTAGCGAAAGGTCGTTTATATAGCAATTAACTTAATTAGGCTGCGAAGTTAAATGTCGGCTGATTGGAACGGAAATAATATGATTTATTTGCTTGTACCATCGATATAAAATTTCAATGACGCGGGCAATTACTTTAATGAGAAATGCATTTGCCTAACCGATTGGATTTTTTGTCTTAAAAATTGGGTAAACGGAGGAAGTTTTTTTTTTGTGCGAGGAATTACTTCAACTTTGGATGTATAAGAGAATGTACAAAAAATCATTAATTTATTTATATAGGTGATAGACTTTACTGCTTCCTTGCTCAATAAATCAATTGTTCAGTGACGAATAATGTTCATATAACGAATTTATATTAATTGCACCATACTGTCTCATTCCTGCAACTATTACACTATTTATTTTAAGCTATTCCTATCAATCATACAAAAATATCTTCTATGGCGTACCACTTCAGCAAAATTACAATCTGAGATACGTTGATAACATGCCCAGAATTTCCCTACACAAAGAAGACTAGCACAGCTACGAAGACTAGCACAGCTAGTCTTCGTACCGCCACTCTAATGACAACTGCGGATATGACTTTCCTCCCAGACAATTACATTGAAAAAACGTTGATTACGAGTTGATTTCATTAAAACACCGTTTACCCAATGTTTAATCAACGCTTTTTCAACGTCAGATGCCTGGTGGTTCACAAATACTATATTAACTTTAGTTCATCTTTGGTAATTTAATAACTGAAGATTTTTTTTGTCACCGAACTCTGCAACTTCTGACCGGGTTATGCGGACTGCCGGCTCGACGCTGCATGCGCTGGTGCGGGCGGTTATAGCCGTTGGTTCTGTTGTACATGCCACACGCGTTGCACAAATAATGGCCTCCAGAGTCCCTGCGCCACAGTGGCGTAGCCATAGCGCCACAATTACAGCACTCGCGTTGCACTGTGTACTCAGGGTCATCTGCTCGTGAATAAATAACTAAATGAAAAATATGTTTCGTTCATTCATTCATCTCACCATGATTTATTTATGTCGCTTTGGAAAAGTAAAAAAAAGTAAACTTTTATTCAAAAAAGTTTACTTTTTTTTGGAAAAGTAAACTTTTATTCAAAGTCGCTTTGGAAAAGTAAAAAAAAGTATTTGGAATTATCTTCCCTGGAAGAGCACATGCAAATGCATGTTTTTCAAATTCATTTCAAGTTTCTGATCATTTATTAGCGAACGTTAGCTCGCTTTTGATGTCTACCAGTGATTATGAATGAACCGCCATTATTAACGTCACAATTATTCCAACGGAAAATACTCCAATAATAAAAACGTTTGATTAATTATACACATGAAAGAAATAAACCCACGTGTATTGATGGAACGCCCTCTAATAAAAACAAAAGTTATTTCCATTAACTTGCCATGAAAATAATATACGTTCATGGAAAATAAAGAAGGCAGTCAATTCTCATATACAAGTAATTCATCGGATATGATCGAAACAAGAATTTAATCTTTCATGTAAAATTATTTCAGTTCATGTCCTAGTTTACAAAAAAATTCATATCATGTATAGCGCAGCATGGGTGAATAAATGCGCACTTGTTAAAGTCCAATAGATTCAGGAAATTAAAGTTCATTAAATTCATGCCCAGTACATCACCACATTCCAGTTTATGTTAATGTTTTTTCGCGGACTCTAACAATATAGTAAAAAATAATTGTAAATTTTAAAAGTTGTAAAAGTACTTTTTCTCAATCAAGTGTGGATAATTTAAATTTACCAATATAATCTACCAATGTACCTCTTCAAAGAATCTTAACTTATAGACGCGAGAACGAATTAAAATCTAGGCGTAATGTTTTTTTAATATGTTTACAGCAATAAAAGAATCATTTGAACTTGCTGATATACATGAATCCCACTTGAATGTATTTTGCGAACTCGAATTGAACAAATTTTGAAGGATCTTAGGAATATTTTCGATTAAATTTCTATTTCTCAGGTAAATGTCAACTACAATTTAAATGTATTATCTAATATAATGCATGGTGACGACGTCTGGTAGAGATTCTTGTAAATAAGCGAACGGGTTGAACATCATCTTTTCAAACGCTTCTCTTTTAAAAATTGAGCAATAAATCGTGAAAATAAAAACTACGATATGATTATTTTAATGTCTATGCTCATAAATTATATACAGTGCCATGCATACAAGTGAGGAACAATAATTTATTTTCGAATAGGATTTCCTTTTTTCAGTTTCAAGAGAAAGCGTACACAAAAGAGACAAAATTCTGTACCCATTTGTCAAATAATATACATATATTTATACTGAAGTCAAGGCGAAAAAATCTTTTCCGGTTAAAAAAGTTAGCTCGACGTAATGTAGAAAGTCGCAGCACATGGCCTGCTCTAAACCTGAAACGCTTAATCCATATTAATGAGTTCACTAGCCCATATAAGCGCCATTATATGAAGTAGTTAGATGGCAATAATTGAGAAACTAAACAAAGGCTCTTTCTTCCAGCTTATCGCGACTGAGGCAAGTTATCAGTTAAAACGGAACTCCTTATATTAATTTATACGGCATGGGAAAGAATTTCTTTAAAACGCAGTCACCAGCTATGCCAGTTTCTCCTTTCAGCGCTCGTATTTTAGGCTTAGATTGAGATTTTTAGGGCTTCAAGGCAATTATGTAATGCACATGTAATGTAATTATGTAATTATAATGTAAAAAAATTCAACATTTGAAATAACAGTTTGTTAAGGTCATTGTAATCCAATAATCACCAGAACATTGAGCTAAGATATGCTTGATATAAAATTTACTTGTGATATGTAATTGGCACCATGCTTTAGAGTAATTGAAATGCATTTTATAGAATCATAATTAAACGAGTATATTACGAAGTATTAAATATTTTTTAATACGACACAGTCACATGTAACGGTCAGATTTATGGTTAAGTTGTTTTGCTTCATCTCGCAGAAAATATTTCGAGGACATCACTGTATTTTGATTAGTTGAGTTTAATATTTTTTTGCGATTCGGTATATTGTTTTAAAGAAAAATCATCCATCAATAACTATATGGCTTGTACACAGCTTTCTTGAGAGCAAGTGAATGCATTAAAATTGGGCATTGTTCACGGAAAAAGTTTTCAAATTTTTTAGTAGAAATATATGTTCACTTCTCATTTAGGAAATATAGTCAACTTGAGAATTACTTACCTACTCTTTATAGGTCATAAGTAGGTATCCCCGTAAGAATTGATGCAAGATAAATCATCGCTCGACTTTTGAAACAACAATCCGCTACTCCAGGTATCGACACCGAACAAAATTAGAAAAAAAATTTCCAGCCGCTAAATTTAATTCTTCGTGGTATGATGTATATAGTCTATTTCCACATGATGCATTACCTCAAGTATTTCCTAAACCTTCTTGACGACTGTTAGCGCAAAAAACTGATATCAAGTGGTGAATCAGAATTCAGGTGATTTTGTTTACTACTGCGTAAAAATACAAGACGTGTAGTAGGATAAAAGGATTTATTTACCTCAAGGAATTTTGTATCCAATCATTTTTTACTGAGAAAACATTTATAAATTAAAAAAATTAATTCCAATGAAGCAGTACCATTTAAAAAGAGCTTTTTCATGCAAATGAAAATAATAAAGTCATTTACATTTGAAAACAAAACTTCATCTTAAATGTGTCTGCCGCCCATACTAAAATGTTTGGGATAAGTCCACGGAAGTTTTACGGAAATTTTCGTGGCGTAGCATAATTCCGGAGCTTAGTAGACACCTGAAGAACAGTAAAGAAATTTGCCAAAGAAATTCTCTCCGCAGGTGTGAAAATTTTTGTTATAAAAGCTATATCAATGGGCAGGTTAAGGGCAATATGAACAAAAAAGTTTATCTTATACAGTGGCATATTGTGGTATCCAAGTTTCCTGAGAAGAAATCTGAAATTGGACTTAGTTATCGGATGCATTCAGAGCATTAATCGTCAGAATTCTTGAAGATTTCATTTTAACCATAAATAACAAATAAATATATCAAATTTTCAGTTATCGATCTTTTATACTAATTTCGCACATAATTTAGAATTTCCTCGAGAGGAGATGCACATTCACAACAGGTTGTTGATTTTAAATTATTCAGTTATTCGACTAAACGATGAAAATGAAATATTTAAAAAGTAAATATTATCGCACATGACAACATGTGCGGCGAAGTCATGTTGTGCCAAAGAATCCAAGATGTGATATCCTCTTATTGCAGACAATTTATTTACAAATACTTGTCCCATGGTGCATGCAATTTGAGTTCATTTATTAATGAATTCAATGTTATTGCGATCAAAGCAACTCGTGAAGTCTACGGATTTCCCAACCCGATATTCGAAGCGTGCAACACGGAAAGTGAAATAAAATTTAATTAAAGCCGAATCTATGCTACTTCCTGCTAGTCAATACGCAAGCTAGAAATGTGAATGAAATGCCATGTGCAGTAATTTTTAATCCATCTTCATGATGAAGACAAATTTATACTGGATTATGAAATAATCATTCGCAGTGAAAGTTATTTATCCTTAATTCCCACTGGTAATGTGTAACTCGGTCAAGAAATGAATTAAGAAGTGATAATTAGGATCGCAAGTTTTCAATAGTGTTTTATAGTGCTTGTCTAACAATTCATGAACTTGAATTTACACACTTAATTTCGTAGATGGGTATTGGAGATGAATTTATATACCTATATTAGGCATAAAAATCTGATGCTGCTGTTCCGGTATAAAGCTTTTAGTAATTCGCCGACATTATTTTATGGCAGGTTTTGGTTTGCGTTGGGCATCAATGCTCGATAATAGTGGCATTAAGATCACTTGGCTGCTTAAGTTGCAAATTTACCAGGAATTTAAAAGTAAAGAAAATAGCCAAAAAGTTCACCATTTATTTTAAGAGACGATGGAGCTGGACTCCGAAACGTTTTCTCTTTTAAGAAATGGTGAACTTTTTGGCTATTTTCTTTACTTCTAAACTCTTGGTCAATAATTGTGTTGACGTCTGATCAAAGCTTTTTATATCTTGAGATCACATATATTTGTTATATGAAGGATATATTATAGTGCTGTATGCGCTATATAAAAGAGTGCTTCAGCAGGATGAGCGTTTTAAATTTTATAAGATTTGCATCATGCGGGAGCTGAAAATGTTATTGTTTGGGGATAATTCCTATCTGCCTTGTGTACAAATGAAAACTTTTGAAGAGGCTAAAAATTAAATGGAATATATGTCTTCAGTTGCGTTCTGTTTGTTATCTGGCAAGCACATATATTGAAAAAAAAAACAAATTTTAATTCATGAGTTTTCTTGTTATAAGGTACTTTTTCAAATTTCAATTAGGTATAATTTCCCTCCGCTAACTTATACTTTGCTGAATATATTAACATAATAAACCTAATTTAATTAACTAAATCATACAAGTGGTTGATGAAAAAATATGTAAACTTACAAATTGCTGAATATATCAACAAAATAAACCTAATTTAATAATCTAAATCTTACAAGTGGTTGATGAGAAAATATGTATATGAATATATTGATATTTTTGAACTGACCTGGTTTAAGTAAGCTAAATGTTTCTCCATCTTTAACGACGTAATGATCGTAATTAACTGCTGATGAGCTCCAGCTGAGATGACCCTGCAGTGGGTAACTGCTGGTTGCTCCAGATGGTGCGCTTATTCTCTCCAAAGACTCCTGTGAAATTATTTATTTTATTAATCAACGCCAAATTTATTAATAAAATTAATAGCTTAGGACTGAGCGAAATCAAACTTCCATCTACTTCCATTTCGAAATCAAACTTTTATTCTTTACTAATAACGACTGTGAAACTGAAAGATTATATACAAAGAGATTGAGATGTGAGAAAATTTTTAGTGACAAAAGTTTTTGAATGCAATTGGTTTGTTAAAACCGAAACATATTGTTAAAATATGGACACACTTTCCATCCCTCATCACAAAGAATATAGATTTAAAACTGATACGCAATCTTTCCTATCTAAAACTTGGTCACAATGACCCACTGAAGGTTTAAAGTTAATGTTAATTTCACTCTCATTTATTTCTCTGAGTTCAAAATGTCCAAGTTCACTGCCCTGACCTGCGTGTAGTCGATGCCTGGAGTCCAGGAGTGAGGGTTGCCCTCGCCATAATAGAAAATTAAAGTAACTTTGAGCAAATAAAACCGTCGATTAACATGAATTTAAGAGATTATCTGTAGTTATTTATTCACTCGAATAATAGAAAATTAAAGTAACTATGAGCAAATAGAACCGTCGATTAACATGAATTTAAGAGATTATCTGTAGTTATTTATTCACTTGAATAATAGAAAATTAAAGTAACTTTGAGCAAATAAAACCGTCGATTAACATGAATTTAAGAGATTATCTGTAGTTATTTATTCACTTGAATAATAGAAAATTAAAGTAACTATGAGCAAATAGAACCGTCGATTAACATGAATTTAAGAGAATATCAGTAGTTATTTTTTCACTTGGATAATTAGAAAATTAGATTATGGGTATAGAATAAATCAGGTGAATCGATGTACTAAGAGCCTGAGGCGAGAGGTTATTGGTAAATGCTGAATTTTGTTATATTGTATTATTAAAAGTAACTCTAAGCCGGATTTATACATTATGTTAGTATTCATTATACAGTATAACTTAAATTTAAATATCTTTAGCGCTATTATATTGTTATTGTAGATATTGTTAGCGTGATGTCTTTTACAATACGAACACCTTCAGAACTGAAATAAAGAGATGCCAGTTGAGCTATAGTTTATGTGTACTTCAGGGCTGACTGAAATAAAGAGATGCCAGTTGAGCATAGCTGATGTGTACCTCGTAAAGATGCATTGCTAATTAGTTGGCCATTTACACTGACAATCACTTGTATATACATCCGTGTGATAACAGATTTAGCATCAACGATTTTGTATTCAAGGTGTTTCTGTATGTTATGGAGTGTTAGATTTATGTAATAATGAAAAATCAAACCATGTCATAATGAATCAGAGTTTACACGATTTTTCTGGATGGAAAAATTTCCATATTTGAAAGTCGACGACAATATTAGTTCTACTTATCATTTATAATATAATGGAGCAAACTAAAAATTTTTATTCGTGTACATGTAGTATGAAAATTGTTCAAAATCAATTTTCCAACTTAGAATTTGCATGCCTATATAGGCTACTATTTATTCTCAGCTGGTTTAACCTGAAAGTAATCTAAATCCTTTTTTCAAGAATTTAGTTTTCAATGCATATGAATGCGGCAAAGACCGGAAACCGCTCGAGAAATGATTTAGTTACCTTGTTATTGTCTATGTAAACTTCCCATGCACAGCACGAATTATATTATTTTCCAAAAAACATATAACATATACATCCCCGTAGTTATTTACATTATTTATTGCTTTGCTCCATCCCATTGGAGGAGACGATTGAACATCAAAAGTATTATGCAATATTTTTACACAACGCATCAATAATTACATTTCGTCTTCGCGGGGATTAACTTTCATTGGGACACAAATTATAGCTTGAAACATATATCCTACAATGACAGCAACAATGGAAGCTGCCTCGCAGAATAAACAAATAAACAGCTTTTTGTGACTCCAGTGCACGTGTTTCAACTTAGCGAAATTGTATTTTTTTTAAATCATAGGAAAACTTCTAGACAAAAATCAAAATCAGAAAAAAACTAAAAATTGGTTTGACTATCACACGCCGCTTCTATTGCTCTCAGGTACTAGGCAAATCTAATGAGACAAGAAATTAAAAACTCGATCAAGCCACCGTGTTCCTCTTTGACGAAATTCTCAGGAAAAGTGCTAAGAAATGTTTTTGTTGTTGCATCATCTAAAACTGCGTCAATTGCAAGAGTAAAATCAAACAAAAAGGAATTAATAAAATATATGCTTTAATTTAAATTTCGTTACCTGCATGTCTCCTTATTTGTCAACTACATACATTTCACAAAAATTATGGAAAAGGAACAACGTGAAAATCGAAGCGCTCAGGCAGAGAGGAATACGACAAAATTGCTGAGCTGTCATATTAGGTTGAGATGACTAATTCAAATTTGAAAATGAGGTCCGAAATTCGTTCCCAAAAAATTTGCCGCTCGTATAATTTTCTAATAAACTGACTCATGCAATGGCAAATGCCTGGGAAAATCACTTCCTTAATAATCAAATCGCTTGCCGGTGCATTTGCATATATGTTTTGCACTTACCAATTTCAAAGAAACACGCCTATTGTGTGTCCTTACCAATTGATGGGATTTAGTACAATCTACGCACATAATTTATCAACTTGAAATCAACTTGAAATTTCAAGTTGATTATCTTATATATATTTGTCAAAATTTGTTTGTGTTCTTGAAGCCTGTCGCTTCGAAAAAAAAATATCTTCGAAATAAGAATAAATATATCGACTCAAAAAGGCGCGTAAACGGAAATTTTTTCGCATCGGGATTTTTCATGGACCTAAAAATTAATTCATATTGTGAGAATTTCAAAGCATCGCAAAACGGGAAGGAATGGTTTGATATAACAATTTTATTTTTTATTGAATTGTTGGAGAGAAACTTCATAAAAAACATATCAAAATTGTTTTATTCAAATTTTGAAACTTCTCTTTAAAATTCCAATTCTTTTATTCTTTGTAGAATGTTGAATTGAACAGCTGTTTCTTTAAATAGCATACTTTAAATTTATTAATTTTTGTGACGGGACTCACGATTACGAAATGCTAAAATTTTATATAATCAATACCGGGTGACATGTGGCTAATCTGTTCGTTATTTTTTGTCTGTCGGAAAACTTGGTGTAGACGCAGTTGTTTAGAGTTTCGCATAGCTTTCATTCGTCTGAAATATTTTCCTTGTTGCATTTCTACTATATGTCATTTTTTAGTCTTGACGCCGTCCACTGAACTATGGCGTGGAGAAAATTATTGTGAATTGGCTACCATTACTGAATTATTTCGTACCATGAGCCTTTCAATATAATTATGTGATATAAATATAATTTTACTTTTTCAGAAGACCAATGCATAGTAATTTCAGCCCATTGGCCGGGTACTAGTTCCATCTGTTGTGAAATAAAATTTACTGAACACCATTACAGGCCATTCTTATTAATTGCACAATAAAATCAGTAAAACGTGAAGAACATATATAGGCTGCATATTAGCGTGTACACCTGGGATGAAAGTTATACATTTCTCCCGTATAGACTCTCGTGAATCATTTTATGATATCCTCGTCTTTGAATCATTTTATGATATCCATGATTATTACTGCACCACATTAATCCGCAAAAATGAATTTCAGTATTTCAATGTAGGAAATCGTGTAAATCCAGTATAGGATTTACTTGTATATTATACTACGAATTACCTAGTATAAAACTGAAGTTTACTAAGCATTTCAATATTGCAGAGGTCTGCGGAAACTATAAACAAAGCGCTTTTAAATGAACCCTCACAAAGCACGGTAATACCACATTATATGTTGGCGGTGTAATCACAATAGTATAATTAGAAGCAATTAATTAATGAATAGTATAATTAGAAGCCCAAATAATTAATGACGAAATGTGATGGGATTTATCGTGTTGTTGGATGAATAGTGTCTTGTAACAATGCTACAAGTAATATTGGTAACATTGCGTACATGTTTTTAAAAATTGAATTTAGATTACATTTTGATTAGCCGTTTTGATTCATCCATGTTATTGCATTGCAAGAAAATTATAACACTATTTTAAAATTTTGGTTTAGCGTGTGGAAACGTTTTGTTTGAAAAAAATGTAACAGGACAGTTTCATCGATCGTTTTTCTTTGCTGTTCGAAAATTAATTCAACTATACGTATTAACATATGAGCGCGTAATCAGAATTAGATAATTTTTCTGGGCGTGAAAGCCGCGAACAATATTAAAATGAGTCCCTCTTCCAATAAAGATTAAATAGACCAAACGATACAAAAAGAATCACCATAATACAAATGTACGATGCGGATACATATTTGAATTTCTGAATCAAAGTCACATAAAGCAGAAATTTCATTGCGGGTTGAATTTGTGAAGCTGGAATTATATGGAACGTTATTTTGGCCACAAGCCCGGGAACAAAGTTACTGACTTCGTCGAAATCGTGAAAACTTTGAATTATGTCAAACCTATCATGCTATAGAATGAATAATATTTTTATTTAACTCTAATTCGTTCGATGTAACGACCAAAGTACTGATTTAATGTCAAGTTTGGTCTGAAAAATAAATGCTCTATTCATGGTGACATGATTCTCTAAAACATTATCCGATTTAAGTGGTAAATCCTTTGTTAATAAGCATTGATATCTCAGAATAAACCGTCATTCTAACATGTATGTTCACAAATACTTGTAAGAGAAATTTACTCACTGCATCCTAATTGATATTAATTTATGAGTTTATTACTTCACTCCTGATATTACACTCAATTTTATTTCACGATTCCTGTTGCTAGCTGAGGTATATATTCTTGGCATTGATACCTAGGAAATACCCGAACATGTCAGACATTACCACTTCCTTTCATCTCCATGAAGACATTTTCAAGCGCTCAATTCCTACGTCATTAAAACTTATATGATAAAATGCTCCTAAAATTAATTCGTAAGTGTTGTGTTCTTCTATCCAAGACTTTTTATTAATTTTTCTTCTATCATTCAATATTAAAGAATTTAACTCGCATGCATCTAAATCATAAGTATTTATTACTTTTGTTACCGAGACTTTAGTTTACTTAACCTCTAGACGCGAGCTTACCTCCGGTTTGAGCGTCGCCTCTTGCGCGGCGATGACCGCAGTGGGAGTGGGCGCCACGAGCGCCCCCTGGTGAACAAGGCCCTCAGACGCCCCAGTCCCTCCGCTGCTGCTGCTGCTACTCGTTGCTGTGATCGTCGTCAGTTGTAATGCTGATCCCGCCGACGAATGTGATGAAGAATGTGGGTAAGTGACGTGGACAACGCCACTGTGGGCTGCTGAGGTGCTGTTTGCCATCGAATAGGCGTATTTCAGTTCCTGTTCCTCCTGTTCGTCTTCTTGTTTGATTGGCACTTGGGCCGACAAACTCACGTCTTCTCGGATGATGACACGCTTGGCTTCTGGCACCGACAAACTGCAATTTGTTGGTGATACGCTGTCGGAGAAATAGGCAAGTTACCTTTTTGTTAATCGTGGATGATTGGGAGAAAAGGGAGAGACAAATTAAATTGGATAAATAGTAGAAGTATCATACTGAATGAATTTAAGGTGACTTAATTCATAATCTTTGAATGAGAATATAGTTCAATTAAACAAAGATAATTGACTCAGGAAATTTTGTAACATGTGACTCTTCTCTCTCTCACCTGTTTCCGTCATCAGGAGATTGCACTCGCGGTGGATGAGTTTGGTGCCAGGGTTCAACTTCAAGATAATCTTTGTGTTCAGCATTAATGACCACATAGGTGCCATATTCAGAGGGCGCTGCCATGATGTAGTTCTGAGAACTTGGAGAACCTCCCGCCACGAAAGAGTACGTGAGCTGTCCAACGTTGGCGCCGGTGGTGGAAGGCGATGTCGAGGGCTGACCCGAAGAGTTGATAGTAACAGTGACCGCTGAAGGGAGTATAGGTGGAGATCTCGGACCTGAGTTTTCGATAACAATCGAAGATGAGCCTTGGTTCGTGTTTTGAATGGGCGAGTTCTTGGTAGATTCGAAAGCAGCTGGTGAAGGTTGGATTTCTCTCATCGCCTTTTGGGAAGAAGATTCAGGAGCTTGGGAAATTACGTAAGGTCTTTGTACGGTTATTACCGCACTGGATGTATGCGTGACACTGGAGCTGTTGCTCGGAGAAGGAGCCTGGGTCGTGACGCTCGAACAAAGTACTGTCGAGTTCGAAAGAGACGGATTTGTGAGACGGTAAGAATTATTTTCTGATGTTCGAGGGGCTGGCAACGAGGGTTTGTTAGAGATAGACTCTACTATCCTGGAGCTTGCTTGAGTTAAGTCGGCGGCTTGTTCGTTTGCTTCATAGTAGGCTTTGGCTTTGGAAAGCTTCGAAAAAGGTTGTCTCTGAGAGAGGTTTTCTGGCGACATAGGGGAGTGTTGTGGAGCTGGAGACTTTCTAGGTGAACCTCCAGAAGGCCTCTCATTTCCAACAATCGCCCCTCTTGGTTCAGCATTTCCATCCATGGTAAATCTGTAAATAAACTCCCCTTGACAATTTTACACGATCGCTGATCAAGTAACAACCACTTGACATATGCGCACTTATTTTATGCTGATTAAACACGCAATGCAATTAGCAAGAAAAAGCTGCGGTGAAGCTTCTCAGAACACTCACATTAGTTAATGGGAAGTCTAGAGCTCATCTTTGTAATTCATCTCAAGTAGAAAAAATAATAGTACAAAATTGTCAAATTTGAAGGCAACTTACATTATTTTTCAGAATAGAAAATCCGTAGATTGTAAATGCTCCGAAAGTTCTGTTAAGGTTCATCCAAATTTAAAGCATGCCAGGTACGAATAATACTAAGCATTCTTAAAAAAATATGGCTTCACCAAAAATGAACAAAGGCCTGAGGTAAAGTCGCGACACACTTCATATTATATAATATATGTCTGACATGCGTAATGAAAATTAGTACCAAATATTTAAATGACGATATTGGATGCATCGAAGAAAGCTTGGATACAGGGTTGGATACTTAAAAAACGAGGTTGGATACATAAAAAAATTGTATGTTCATTTGGTTGTGTTTAATCTAACCATCAGTCAGTGAGCATAGATTTCTACCTATCCAATAAGTGAACTTTTGTTTTGAATATAAAATCTGTAATGAACGTTCCTCATAAAAGTATTGTTTTCGACCGATGTATATTGCAGAGGTTCGCTGATGCATGATTAGTTTTCTATAATGACCACCATTGATGAACTGATCTTTAGGTTGGCGGAAGTCCTACGGTTTGTGAACGGATGTTGAGTTTGTATGTCGGTTTGTGTTTCTATTGATATTCCATATTGCTTTGACCTGATATGATAGTTGAATGAGAGATAAGATTTAGTTGTGTGTATACGACAAGATATCGCCGATAGCAGATCCTGCCTTGCCGTAGCTCAACCTTCATTATTCCTGGAGATAAAAAAGATAATAGCAATCGTGCACTAATCTCAGGGACCAATTCCATACCGTGGGCGGTTTTGTGCAGCTTTCAACTCACCCTCAAGCTCCAGTATTGGCCTGGATCGCAGAGACTCTACAGTTTGCCTGCGCACTCAGTGGAACCTATCCAAAGACTGATAAGCGCGATAACCTTATATTCACGCTGCTCTCGCACCAGCCACTCACAAGCCATGTCTCAACACTTCGTATACCCACTCAAAACATTCCCTTCGATCGCAACGAGTACTGATGAATACGAATAATAATTGGTCATTTTCTGGTTGTATGATATATGTTTCATTTTTTGACCTGTGATGCACTAAGGAGGATACTTCTGTGATCCACTCAAGATACTCTAGGCGGTAACACAATGAACTATGAATTCTTCGCATTTACAGCTCCTGTATTTCATCGCGCTGTATGCTAACTGGCTAATTAATCATCTCATTAAATATAAGAATTTACCCGGAGTTAGACTGAAATTTCTAATTAAACTTCACGAAACTAGCTTGTGTGTTTACGCAGTAAATATCTTGTGGTGTCATAGTTTTCCCATTGTTCAGTTTAAACCAATTGGAAACATGCCACAATTTGTATTGCGATTTGATTAGCGGAAGAACGTAGATCGCAAAGTAAGATCTCTAGATCAGTGAACTTTGAATAGATAATAGAGTTCATAAATAGAATATAGAGACCTGATCAACTATTTGTGACTTAAAATATGACTACCCCACCTTATATGCTAAGAATTTCATTGATTGGTTATTCTAAAAAAAAAACATAACAATACTTTTGATCAATATCGTAGCGACAAGTTCCTCACCAATTCATTCGATTTCAGTCGTTGCTGGATTTGCAGTCATGACTTATGACTGACAATTTGCAGTCATGACTCATGATCGGATGAGTCATAAAATGAAGGGCAGTAATACCTCACCATTCCACGCTGACGCTGCACTGTCCCAATAGACTGACTCACGGCTCACGAGGAATGACGATGTGGTTGAAGAGTCTGTGGAAGGTCAATCAAAGTAGATATAAATGAATAATTTCTCTGAATTTTTCTAGATATAATTCACGGTGAACGTATTGGTATGATAAATATTTCTCAAGAGAGCTTTTATACAAAGACGCTTAAATTTGAGTCGTTAAGTTTCCATGACCGTGTCGTGGTGTAAATGAAGGTTAAATAAAAATCAGGAAAGCACTTCGACTTCAGAAGGACAAAAGAATACTTTTTTGCTCAGCTTTTTAAATTCCAAACCTTAAATAAAGGAAAGCAACAATAATTTTTAATGCCTCGCCATTGGTTTTGTGTCTTTTATGTTATTAGGGAACTTTGTTCGGTGTTACACTTCAGTCGCTGAATGTTTTCAGCCGTTGACGTTCAGTGTTAGTTCTTCAGGAACGGAAACAATGGAAAGTAAATGTGTAATGAATGCCGAAACAATGTAACTGGATGCAGCACGCACTTTTATGATTAGTTACTGATTTTGGATTTATGAAAGTCCTACTTGAGTTTTTTGACCTTCCTTAATGCAATCTTTTATGTCCTATAATATTCAATAATTATCCCTTTCCTGACCTTCTCACCTTCATCTGTTTCCATGACGTACGTTGATATTTTCGTTCTTCATTTACAGTTTACAGGTCCTGTTAATCCATGGCTGAGTCAGCCTCTTGGAAGTGGACCAGCCACGTAACTACAAACTGCCAGTTTCCGCCGGAATGCTGCTGAGATGACGGAAGGAAACAATTGTTGGTCCGGTTTGCCTCTGATCGGCGGAAGGTGCGAGAAAGTGGTCATTTCTATGGCACGTGGCGGGGCCGTACACAAGGTGCGGATAGAGCCCAGCAAGTCGATATGCCGGAATAGTTTGTTCCGTTAGATACCGAGCATGACGCGGCAACCTTGAAGGCCTTAAGTTCTCCATGTTTGGTGAAAGCGATCACGGAAGAGAGTTTAGGTGCCTATACGGACCTGTAGCGATCAATATTATTGCAGTAAAAGATATCTGAAAATTATGCTTCTATGATTAACGATTTATACTCTTGCACTAAGTTTTGCGAGCGAAAATGTGTTTAACTTAACAAAACTTAAACTGATGGTTGGCTGATAAAAGAATGTAAGGCTGATAAAAGAATGTAATATGAACACATTATTAAACATCGGCTTGAAGCAGTTACTCCGACGATGTGTAATGTTACCTCAAATGATGCATGCATGTAGTTGAGATGTAATGAATGGGAGGTGTCTTCTTGATCTGAATTTAAGGAAATTAAATTTTGGTTCAGAAATGAGCGCGCAGGTATGAATCACAACTTTGCCCAGCAGCAATAGTATATCTGCAATATCCCAGTAATGATTCTGGAATCTCTGAGAATAAATACTAGGTGAACCTTGACCTGTGTTTTGTTCTATACATTCTCCAGTTTCCAATTATTTCAAAATTAGCTATTGTGGCACACTTTGTTTTGAACGAAAAATTCATGGCAACGGAAGAATTTTTTCGAATAAAGAAAAGTAAAGTAATCGAGCATGTAATCTGTATTGTTAATAATAATATACTCAAGAAATGCGAATTTATAGGAACTACATGAATTCAATTTACATTAATTAAGTTCATATTCATTTTTGAAACAACCGAACTCAGTTATTACTAATTTGTTTTCTTACACACCATGAATAGCTAAAAATTTTATACCTGATGGCAACCGTAATCAAAGTTTTGCATTGTACGTGTATATAGTTCTTCTATGGAGGACTCGGTTTCCAGACTTCTAATCATGCGAGAAATTTCGTAACTCTAGTAATTCATCATTAGGACATTTCATCGCTTTCAACCTTTAGCAATTTAGCCTAACCTAACCTACATGCACCTATTTTTTATGATGAATCGCTATAACATTACTTTTTCCTTTGGTGAATTGCGATAACGTTGAAATGTGCCAATGGTGAATTATTGTTATAGTGATGAAATGCCTCGTAAGATGAGAAGTAAATGACTCCTCTTACACTCTATTCCGCATAATTAAGCTTGTTTACATCAATAACAAGCCAAGAGTTCTATATCAATACACTTTACGATAAGGAGGCTAAATAAACCCAGAAATGTCTATCCTAGGAATCCACTCGCAATAATGCGGATTTTCTTCACTCAAAAAATACATAAAATTTCCTTTTGAATTTTCATTCTGAAGATATTTTAGGTGGAATCGTCCATTTTTCAATCAAAAAGTCGTATCATATGAAAATTTCCCGGCAATAGTGAGGAACATGTTACAGAGTCGGACGGTTCATATCGCTTCTTGTTTACGGAGAGAGAGGCGCTATCGTGTTGGCTTATCGCTTATCGCAAGCGACGATGATAACATCGACCAGCTATCGCTGCCGCTCCTCAAGGGAGGTCAGACTGAGGGGGCGTAGAAGTCCTCCTTAATTAAGAAGACTGTATATTATACAGGTGTTGTTCTCACGGGCAAAATTTAGTTATGAATAAATAAATTTTCAAATTTTTGGTTACGTTTTATGAAACGACTAACATTGTTTGAAATATATCCCTCGCTTTCGTATTAATTCCTGCATAGTAAACACCGTACTTTCGTTTTAATAATCTTTGATGATGAATTTCAGTATTTGTTCACTAAAATGTTAAACTTCTAATGAGTTAGCAAGAAATTCGTTTAACTGTTTTTGAATTTAATTTCATGAAGCGTTCGGTTGTTCCGCATGAATGATGGCAGTCGAAAGAGTTGCAACCTACCGGTGAAACGCGTGCACTCATTATAATGAGGAATCAATGTGATTTTTTCGGTACCTTTCCGAAGGATCTTTAGACGAATTTTTCGGTATTTTACGTTTATTTTGACGGATCTTCCGAAGGATTTTTTGGTATTTTTTATGAATTTTTTCGGAGGGTCTTTCTGATCACAAACATACAAGGAAAAAGTCTCTGCTCATAAAGTTCAAAATATTTACCGGAAAAATTACATCAGCATGCAATAGTTTAACACACAAATAAAGCTACCTATCTTCTCCAGCCACCATGAGTGCTGGGTTCCTCACAAGACTTAAATCTAACACTTCCGGGTACCATGTTATATACGTAATATATTTGCAATGAAATTTCAATTCAAATGCTTTGTTGAGCAAAATTTTTACCAGCATGTTAGCTTCAATCAAAAATGAAACGTTTGCTAAAGCTCAATTGAGTACATACACTGATCACACCATGTGAGTCCAGTGTCACTGAAATCCCAATATAGATCTTAACACAGAATCTTACTAACTTCCAAAAAGGATCATTTACTTTGTATGTGACTTATAATTTCTCGTCTCAGAGAAGTTCACTCGCTCATGCTCTAAATTTCTCAATTTCGATGCCCACTGCATGTTAATCATTTTCAGAACCATCACATTCGACGGAATTATTATTTTATACACGTAGAATCAATGTTTTCTTTCAATGACTTTCAATCTTCCACAGGAAAAATGAGTATTGTCTTCTACCTGAACATGAACGGTCCATTGTTACGCCATTTCTCAGGTTCATGCAATCGCTGACGTCATATTTTTCACCGGCATCCAAAATAGCGTGTGAATGATATCATTAAAAATTTCCGACGAATATTATCACGAAAAAACCAACAGACGTCTATCATATGATCATGATATTATATTGCTCGCACCACATAGAATTATTTTTCCGCAATTTATTTCGATAAAATTTGGAAACGTCCGTTTTGTAAGCGGGGTTTATTTTCGTGACGGGCAGAATGCTTCGTTCGTCACTGAATTTCAGTGAAACAATTTGCTGAATTTCAGTCAAACAATTCACTGATTAGTTCCTGACCTAGATTACATTGATATGCAAAAGAGCTTCCCTACTGAAGAACACATAAATTTGAAGATACATAGTCCATAGAGCGGCAAAATAAATAATTTACTGCTTCACCCAGTAAATTAGTTAGCTAACTGTCGTCTCTTCAATAAAGTCGAGAAAATTTGTCCACTCGATTCAAGTTTGTTCGGTAGATAATGATAAAGAATTGACTTTGGGCCGAAACTCATATGTTATTAGTTGAACTTATGATTTGATTAATTTTAAATATAGTCAATAGAAGC